TATATATATATATATACACACGACTACAAACCACAAAACTTACTGTGCTAGTTAACAGAGGGCAGCAGACAAAACCCACAGCGGTAATACCCTAACACATGTAAATATTTTTGGTATCGATAGCGAAACCCAGGTAGTATTCTGGCACCTGGTTTTAACAAGTTCAACAACCATTTCTGTCCTAAAAAAGTTCATCTGTCAATGTATGTATGAATAAGTAAGCGACTAAGCATTATAAATAGGCAAACATGATACTTGCAAACATAACCCAACACACACAAATGGACAAAAGGTTATTGCTCTTATGTTTTGTGGTCTGCAACCTGAATTTTTTATTTGGCTTTCATATCAAGTATGGCCTGCTTATGCAGTTTCACTATTTGGTTCACTTATTTCAAAGGGGAAATAAGAATAAATAGGCCAGTTTGGTTTCCACAGGCAGTATGTATATAGACGTATGCTGGAAGAGGCAGACCATGTGACTCACCCATGTGTCTATAGTACTCCTCAATGCCGCTCCAGGTGTTCTTTTCAATCAATGCTTTCACCAGACTCCACGGCTGCTTCTTGTAGCAGATGTTTGAGGAAACTCTGGGCAAAGAAAAGTAAACAAAGCCTGTTTGAAATATACACAGACAATCTAATGTGTGGATGTGATCTCTTCTTCTTCTTTTTACAAAGAAAAACACCTTTCATATTCAACCTGCTCCATATTGCTGTAACATTAATCATATCATTCATTTCCCATGAATTAACAGCAACAGTAATCTTGTCTTAATAGATATTTCAAATATATGATTTCAGGTCAACTTTGACGCAAGCGTGGCCTAAAATCAGCTGACCAAAAGAGAAAAGAAATATAGAATATTCTAAACACAACTTATATAGATATGTATGGATTGTGTCTTTCAGTTTCTTAAGTTTTCTTTATGCCACACATGTTGCAACAGATTAAGCTAGTTCTTGAAGAATTCCTGCATGTCATTATGACACCAGTGAATGTTGTCTTTTCATTATGAAATGCAGGAATTCTTTCTCAGTGTAGGGGCAAGAGTTTAATGGCTTCCTGCCCAGGTTATAATGAAGACGTTCCAAAGCTTTGACAGAAATAATCTAAAATCCTCTAAAACGTCATAGTCGGGATACAAAATTAGCAGCAGCCACCAGCCAAATGCTGGTAAAACATGGCTGGTAGATTTACTTCACTCAACAACCAAATAGAAAACGGTTATCTATTGAGTGGTTGGTAAAATTTTAACAAATACTAGCTATTTTGACCGATGGACAAAAAAGTTCAATTTTGCACACTGCTCATACTGATTATAGTATGTTGAGAAAATAAGGCTTAAATACACTACATTACACATTTTCTGGGCTGTTGAATGGCATATAAAAACTTAATTACTGATTACCCTAGGAACCTCTACACCTGCATCGGTTTAAGTGTTGCAGTTGTACAGTAGTGACAATGGGTGTATTAAAAGGGGAAGTGTTATACCACTGGAACCAGTTTATTGCATTTTGGATCCTATTCAGGTTATTGTTAGAAAAAAAGCTCCAAATAGAGACAACTAGTGATACAGTTAACGAGAAGCAGACAGCAAGACAGTCAAAGCCCTTACTTAAATGAAACATGTCTTGCGGCCATATTGCATAATATGTATATTGTGGCCAATGTCAGTGGAGAAACTTCTATGTCTGCCTTCTCTTTTTCTTCCACTGTGATTGTTTACAGTGATTGTTCGTTCGGTGCAAAAGATGATAAGATGCCCTTGGTCTTGTACAAGTCTTTGACCCTGAGATGTTAACATCGAGACTTGTGTTTACAAATGATATTTAAAGCCCACTGTTTACTATAAATATGCTGAAGTCAAATACAAGTTTGTCCAGTAATGTCTGCAGAAGTGACAGAACATGTCAAGCGGAATGGTCCTTGAAATAAAAGCAACATCACTCAGCCATTATTTTATTTTAAGTATCAGGAAAGTAGCAAGGGACACTAGATGAAACAAGGGAGAGAAAGCTCTGATGGGATCATTTCATGTACCAGCGATAGTTTCTGGTCCCCTAGGCTGAGGGACGTAACCACTCAACTACAGTTTGCATCATCTATTTTGCTGCAAACTTAACATGTGTAAACAAGGATTTAATGGATCAAATATCAAGAGGTGATGAAAATTGGCAGTGCTTACTCTGCACCGTTTGGATTTCTGTTTAATTCTGTCATGTTTCTTCTTGCATGAGACTGTGGGAAACCCAAAACTTGTGCTAAGAAGCTGCTCAGGTATATAAGATTTGAATTTAGTGTTCTTTCTGGAAGGCAACCCACAACATGTGAGTAATCACTAGTATGGTTGTCATTTATGGCTCGCCGGTTTTAAATGTAGTTTTCACAGTCAAATTCCCACCTACATGGATAAAGACAACACCAGACAACCTACCTGAGCCGGCTCTTGTGCTTGTTAATAGAGGTGAGGCAGTATCTGTGGACAGTGTAGAAGTAGTCCTGGTAGGGGATGCCTGAGGTGATGACCTCCGAGTCCACCACGTAGCACTCACCCCGGGCGCTGCTCTTATGCAATGTCTGAAAGCAGGAAGAAAAGTAGAGGCGGATGGTTAATTGTATGCAAACTTATTGGTTTCCTCTGATACATAACAAAAGCATAATCTGACCCTTAGTTATGGCTTCCTTGGCTGTCTGATAATTTACTGGTGTAAAGGCAGTTGTTAGATGGTCAAAAGGCTTTGGGAAGCCCTTCTCTACACATCTACCTTTCTGGCCCTATGAGTGGCCTGCTGTGTGGAGGTGAGAAAGTAAGCAGGGATTGAACTACTCTCTCTCTCAAACTCTCTTTGTTCATTCTTCACACAACAATTTCACTTTTCACATGAACAGGTAATTACAACACCATGAATGTCTTCCAGGAGAGACTTAAAATGAATGTCATTACCTCCATATTTAAAGTATATCACATCTATTTCCGACTTTTCACTCTGACCTCCAGTGTGGCCATTTGGAACAACTATTAACAAAATGTCATACACACCCTTTCTTCTATCCGCCTTCAATTTTTTTCTAATGTTTTCTGTTCTGTATTCAGTGTAAATCATTTAGTGTTTCAGGGAAAAGTCAATCAATATTACAATACCCCTAACAAAACATAAATAAGTAAAACAAAAAACACTTGCAAAATATATACATTGACCTGTCACAACAGTTTACCAGTTAACTGCCAGCACAGCAAGAAGTTTTAACATAAGAGTTAATTCAAAATGCACTGTGGGAAAATTAGTACATACGCTTAATAAACATTTAAAATAAACTTTCTTTACTTGATAAAATGTAACTGAAGGACTTCTGAAGTTTTCATTTTATGGCATATATGGCAATAGTTATTATTGTCACAATAGATTCACACTTTTAGCACTGAAACCTGCACTGGAACACAAACTGGGCCCCAAACTGGATCCATTATAGAGCAAAAATTAAAAGATCCCCAAGACACAACTACATAAGACTTTAGAGAAAGTTCCTCTCCAGTTAAAACTAAATAAGCAGTGTTGTTTCTGTCCTGTCATTTGCCTTTAGCAAAGCCTCTGTACAAAAGGTCTACATCATAAAACAAAAAACGGCTGGTGTTTGTCAAGGACTGACCTGCGTCTCCACCACAGGGGCAGTCTTGGGGCCGAGGGGGTTGTTCAGGGCGATGGTGTAGCTAAGCACACGGCTGGTATTCCCAGTGCTGCTGTCCTGCTGCCATTCACCCACCGACAGGTCTGATAGAGGGAGAGAAAACAGACGGAGAATATGAGAGTCAAGACACAACAAGATAAAAAAAAGTTCCAAGAGATTTTTTCAAAATGAGAGAGGGCAGGAGAGGTTTAGAATTTGTAAATGAAAAGGATAGAAACCACAAGGTTCAGGCGAGTGGAAGGAGAGAGAGAGAAAGAGAGAGAAAAAGAGAGGCTCAATCCATGCTCCTTCATAAAAAAAGAAAGAAAGAAATGCCCCAATTACAGCTACACAATGTTCCCAGGCGGACTGGGCCTCCAACTGGGGTAGTCACTGGCCAAATCAACTCGACGGCTTCACCTCTGTTCCCATTTCAACGACTACAGAAAAATGTCCAAAATACACAATGCACTTATACCTCATGTATCAGTCTATCAGACAAAAAGTAGTTGTACAGTGACAAAGCAAGGCATGAAAAAAACAGAAGAAGGCAAAGAAAAGAAGAACCGGTGATGGAGGGTGGTTAACACAGCGTAAACAGCTAGTGTGGCACCCTCATTAATGGCACAATACAGTGGGCTACAGGATGTCTTTGAGGGGTCGGGGGTACGTCACTACATTTGTATTAATCAACTGAAGAGTAGCACAGCTGCTTCATAAGAGAAACCAAACTACATTCAAAAGGAAAAACACGTTTGCACAGTTTAAACAAAAGATGAGGCGTTTGTGAGTGTGTTTTTCTTATTCCCACACATGACTGAACAACAGCCCAGAAAAGATATTTGCAGTGAACCTATAATTGTGCTTAATGGCAGAAAAATGTCATAGTATCAACATCAACAGCAAACATCAGGTACTAGTGACATATGCAAAGAAGGAAAGAGTAAACATTTTTTCCACTGACAGCAGCCTAAACTAAGCAGCAAAGCAACAACAAACACTGGGCCGTAACTGTCACTGTCTCAACAGGAAAAACTTGCTCTCTTGCGCTTAATGTTAATCAACAAGTTGATGCAAGTTCTGTGATGGTTGCTAAAGGTTTCACAGCAAGAGAAAGAACTCACAGAGACCTCTCAAACATCAGTGAACCAATAGAAAAACGAAAAGCGCCTTAATACATCATCATTACTTATTAATGGGAGTCGTATAACCCTAGAGAAAATATGTATTTTCACATATCCGCTGTGTAGAAACATATTCCATTATATTTGTGTGTGTAGATGGGTCTTGTAGCTACCAGTAAAATGTCGCTGGGAGAAGAGGTGCTGGATGAAGTGGGTATCGGCTGAGAAGAGCAGGTCATGCAGCTTGTCTACACTCATGCGGACCACGGCGTTGATGTGAAGCCGCCCGCTCAGGTCAGCGCAGAACGACTCCACTTCACCTGAAGGTCAGATAGAAAACAAGAAAGATTTGAATTTCTGTTTCTAGTTATTTTAGTACTCAATATTCTTAGTTGTGGTTTTAATATCTATCCCTGTATAGTAGTGCATACATCTAAATGCATCAAATCATTACATACAGCACTTTTTAAAAATAAAGTTACAGCCTGATAATCACAATTGGCTCTGGTTGTGATAGTGATTTTATTGCTTAATGAATTCAGGGGAAACACAGATTGCTGCTCTATGTCTGTGCTTATTTCTGAATTAGTGAAGGCCTGGTTTAAACATAAAAATATAAAACCTTCGGGCAATCATATCATAAGGTCAGCTTGGAGGCAATTTTAGGTAAATCTTCCGACTGTGCCAAAACTACATGCATAAACTTCCAAATTGGTATCATTTTAATTCAGGACTGATTCACTGTACTTATTGTTGATGTGGAAAGAAGAAGTGGTGGAAGCAATGAAGCAGAAATAAACTTATCATTCTCAGACATCAGGAGGAAGCACAAATAATAGACTTACTATAATAAACTTTCACTAGCAAGTTGGTTCACAGTCATACTAAGGCTAACAACCTTAATAAGTACAAACAAACATCAAATATAGAGAATAAAGTTTAAAAATAGTGTAACAGGATGAAAGACTAACATGAGAGTTTATCAAAATAAGTTTTAAGATGCACTTCATGCTGAATCTGCAACCCTCAGTCCTTAAGGTAGATTTATAAAAGAAAGTTCTGAACAACTAAGTGTTGTATTTTTGCCTGTTATTTTGCTTGATTCACAAAGTACAACATTAAAATTATCTTTAAAAAAAAGTAATCTCATGTAACCTTTATATAATTTACACTTTCTAATCTCCACTGGGTTGTTATGGTGGTCTGTTCAACCAAACAATACTCACTCTCTTCTTGCGTGTCAGAGGAGTTGCTGGGGTCTGTGGGCAATTCCTCATCGTTGGTGATATCCAATGAGGAAAGGTTTCCCAGACTGGTGGTTGGCGGGGGCAGCATGTGATTGGCTGACTCGGACAGGCTGTCCCCACCCTCTTCCAGATTCTGATGCAGTGAGGGGGAAAAAAAGCACACCAGAGGACAGTTAGCAAGAGGTTTGTAGGGAAATCACCCCATTGTCATATGACTTGAGAGGAAAGAGGCCTCAGCTGAGCTGACCTCGTGTTGACGCGGCCTGAGCAGACATACCACTGTAGCCGTGCAATTAATCTGAAACCGACACACAGTCAACACAGCACTTATTCGCTTTAGCTTGGCTTGGGCTTGATCTGTCAGTATCAAGATCAAGACAGCAGGGCAAACAACCACAGCAGCTGTTTTTGAGCCGAACTGGTTGGACATGTAACAACTACACAGTATTCAACACCCGTACTTATATAAATCCTGTAATTCTTGTGTATTATTTTTTGTTGTTTTGTATTATATTTCACTTCATTTTTATTGTTTTAATAGATTTTATTTGTGTTTTTAAATGTTGATCGAATGCCTTATTTTTCAGATCTGGAACAATGATTACACTGCACAAACATTTGTCACAGGTTTAGACTTTGTTTTTGCAGTTAAAATATCTACATTGGGAAAATCAAGTTATTACAACATGCACAAAACAATTATGTTGTAGCTAATGCTAGCTCAGCAGCTGTCTCATGTCAGGCTCATATATGCAACACCAATAGCAGGAGCAGATGAATTAGTGAGCAGACTTTTCTACTCTGATGAAACTGATTATTAAAGTGGAAGTCGCAACCTAATCCATAGCTGTATGGGATAACCTGTATTTTTCAATATGCATAAGAATGACAGTCTAGCAGGTGGTGCCGGTCTTACATTCTTCTTGCTCAACTGTCTTGCACATGAAGTAATAAAAAAACCTCCATTGCAATTAGACTATGTGTAACACTACCCTGAAAACTAACTATTGCAATGTTGCATGCCTAAGTACATGTGGATGTCTAGAACACTCACGAAGGAGGCAGCAGCAGAGGCCGGGGCAGAGGCAGAGGCGTTGGTGGGAGTGGTCGATGGCAGCGAGCTGTGGAAGCTGGGTGGGCTTGGTTCGATGGGGTCAGAGCTCAGTCTGCGTCCTGATGAGGAAGGCACCTCTATGGGCAGACAGGAGGCGGAGGAAGGGGGAGAGGAGCCCACAAGGTTGGTAGATGAGGAAGAGCTGACTGGACCGCAGGGCACCAGGGGAGGGGGAGAGCTGCCGGTGGAGGGAACCGACACTGAGCTCAGGTCTAGTAGATCTGTAACCGACACAGACTCGTCTCCTGGCCTGGGGAACGGAGGGAGAGGAAGTGAGACAGAGATGCATACAGAGAAAGTCACACTGTGAGAGAAAGACACAAGAGCCAAGTGTTTGTTAGAGAACTTAGGGACAGGGGTAGGAAATCTTCAACCCACCAGGCATTTCATGCAATTGTTATTTTTAGCAGACATGTAAAACACTAGTTCAAAAAACTTAAATAAAGACTTGAATATGAAAAAAACCTACACACAAACAACCTCTGTGTTCTAATAAGCAAGGACCCACTTGTTTGGTTAAAGAAAGATCAAACTAACCCCTCAAGATACATCTATGTCAGTTAGTCTGGTGGTATTTATGATATCAACACTAGAACCTGATGAGGATTGTTTTTTCCTGTGGATTTTTATGTTTTAGCAGGTAACCACGATACAATTGCAATTTTGTCATTCAAGTAACTTCAATCTCAATGACAGCAAATACAATTGCCAGATCTAGCAAAGGAAGAGACAGTACAATTAAGGATACATAGTAGTTTCTTAAAATCTAAAAAATAAAAATATAGAATAGTATTTTGTAAAAAAAAAGAAATAAGAAATAAAAGAAGCATTCTTCTGCCCTAACTGACACACTCCAAAGATCCTGTTTCTAACATACTCGTACATTGTAAAGTTAAACCAATTACACAGAAATTGAATTGCACACTTACACACTACCGACACACTAACTACTCACATGTGTTAAAACGCCTTCACACATACATCAACAATATAAAGCTCTGCGCTGCACCATATATTAGCAAGTTTTTACAAATGAACACTCACAGTAGGCCGTTCATGTGTTCGGCGGTGGGGGAGACATAGTCGTCGTCTTCACTAGTGAGGCCCAGCTCAGTGCCGTAACACTGGTGTACAATGTGCCAGAGCTCTTTAGGGGATAGAGACTGCAAAATATCAAATAGTTAATTAGGATCAAATTAAAATGACTCATTTTCTGATATCTACATTCATGTATTGCCACAATTTCTTACACAACAGCTCTACAGCTCTCCATTTCCTGCATTCACTTATGATTTTGTAGTATATGTAGGTACTGGTACAGACTGTAGTGCGGCTGACCCTGACTACATGATACAGAGAGGTATAATCTCTATGTCTAATCGGGGACACCTCTGTTCATTATGTTTGTTCATTATGCAATATAGTATGAGAGTTTTGATTGATTCTCAATGCCCAGTGCCCTCAATGCCAATTAATTCTGTAAATGGGATGAACAACACACAAGAAGGTGGTGCTAAATACAGTGTATACATTCATAAGGGTTCATAAGATTTATCTATGATATTAAAGGACCAGTGTGTAGGATTTAGTTGCATCTAGCGGTGAAGTTGTAGATTGCAAGTAACTGAACATGGCTTGTGTCTGTACTTGACGACCTGGGAAT